CGGCCAGTAATTGCTACGGAATACCTACGGATTGCCAACGAGTGTATGTTCCTACGGAATAACATGGCTACGGATTTCCTACGGATTACCCACGCAAGTATTTTCCTACGGAATAGCTACGGAACTGTTTAACTACGGATTTCCTACGGATTAACGACATAACTCAAGTTTGACTAAAATTGACTTTCTTCCTACGAAATACCTATGGACCTATTTAGCGACGGATTTCCGTAGCTAGTCCGTAGCTAATTTTATTTTATCAAAAAAAAAAAATTTAAAAATTTAAAAATTTCCATTTTTTGTCAAATACCATATCAATTCAATTTGTCCAAAATACACCAAAAAATGTCCCTAATACCAACTTTGACACATTCAATTCCATTGTTTTAAATACCATACAAATGTCTCAAGTACCACACAAATTAAGCATAACAAAACAAGCAAACAATACAAGTGTTTACAAATTCAATTGTTCCAAAATACTTATCAATTGTCCTCGGGTGGATTATCGGGGGGACCACGGGGTTGATTTCCAGACATATTTATCATCCTCATAACCATCTCTATTTGTTCATTCATTTGTTGTTGTTCCATGACAGAAACTTACGCACGCAACCTGTCAACCTAAAAAATGGTGACACAATTCAATACTTAAACAATAATAGCAATGTATTTTAGTTTATTGTAACAATGCATTTTAGTTTATAATTATAGCAATACACTTAACAAAATCCAAAAACAAATTGACATAATGTAGCCATTGCGGATTAAACAAACGACGACTATCAAGTCTCTTCGTGTACATCCATTCTCTATTAGACAACATTTTGATCTAAAACTACATTTCCATTTAAAAATGTTAATTAGAATCCTAACATTTCAATATAATAGTGTAACATCCCATTTAATCTAATATGTATGACTAACGATACATAACATTTCAACAAATGATCAATATCATGATATGCATTTTAAATTAACTAAAAATCCATATATAAACATTTAACTAACATTTTTAACAAATTTAACAAATTAAATTAACATTTTTTATAGGATAAAATTCATATATATCCTTGTAAACATCTAATATTACTATAATATCCTTGTAAATGTTTAAATTATGTATATATCCTTTTAAATCTATAAAATTAACATTTATATCCAAACTTGTATTTCAATTATGATTAATTCAATTTAATATTAAAAACATTATTTAAAAATCAAACTTTCATATAATATTACTAAAATACCCTTTCTTTGTCTCTTTGTATATGTTTCTTAGCTTTTTCTTTTAGATTCATCATCGATACACATACATGTTTGTGTTTTGCTTGTTACCATTCAGAGTTAAACGCACCATAAATCTAATTTAACTTTCTTCGTATTTAGTTTTCTTTTAATTAATAAATTAAATATCAACTCCTACTTACGTCAACTTATTATCTAAATACCAAATTCTATTTCTTTTTGAATTTCTTCAATTCTGAAAATTACATAAAATTTATATAAGTTATATTTTGCTTTCTTTTTAATAAACGATCATTTATATTAATTTACCAAGAGAAAACTATAAGAAAAAAGAAAATCAATTGGATTTGATATTTGTATGTCAAATGGGCTTTTATGCATTTTTGGCTTTTTTGACGTTAGATAATGATCATCAAATGATATACATAAACAAATCTCTTGTGTTTGTATAAGGATGAAGCCAAAAAAAGCCAACATTGATGGAGTAATTTTAACAAATCTTAAACACCAAAATCAACCTAAAACATCACATTTAACAAAAAAATCAACCTAAAACCTCATATTCAACAAAAAAAATCAACCTTACTAGCTCACATTCAACAAAATTACACCTAAAACAAAGTAATTTTTAAAAAGAAACAAAAAAGAAAAAAACTAGGGTTTACCTTTGGCTCGGTGACGGGAAAATGCAGCAAGAAGAAGCACCGGCAGTGGCAGTGCCGTCGACATCGGAAAAGTGAAGGAGGAGGAAGGGGCGCTGCCACCAGGGGGAAGAGTGCCTCGACCACCAGTAGTGTGTTTTATTTTTTGGTTCTTGTAAGTTGCGATGCGAGAAGGGGGAAGATAGAAAAGGGGTATATAAATTAGGGACACCGGCCAAAAATAAAATGTTGCAGCAGGAATCGAACTTGAGCGTCACAAGTATTAAACAATAATCTTACCAATCGGCCAGGCATGCCACTTCCTTAATTGTTTAGACTCCAATTGATTTTATTTTGTTTCTGGAAAAATAAAGAAAAACAGGGTGTGATAAGAATCGAACTCAAGTCTCCTGCATACCTAACCAACACAATTACCATCCAGCCGAGCATACCACATCCTTGCTAAGTTAGCCTCCTATTAATTTTATACACTTTCATTTTTGGATTATTATTATTATTATTATTATTATTATTATTATTATTATTATTATTATTATTATTATTGATCTTATCCATAAACAATACAAATAACATATACTTAGATGAGATCGTTAAGATCATAACAACCTTAATTAAAACTATAAATATTTGTTTTGAAAACTTAAAAAAAAATCGTACCTAATAATTATTTTTGAAAAACAATGTTTTTCACGACTTTGTTATTATTATTATTATTATTAATATTCAAGTCTTAATTTTTTTTTTTTTTAATGATTGTACTTATGTGTGTGCTTATTATTATTATTATTATTATTATTATTATTATTTTATTTTCAAAATTCAAGTCTTAAAACTTTTTTTTCACTATTATTATTATTTTTTTCAATAATAATAATATTAAAAAATAATTAAAAATTTGGTTAACACACAAACAAACAATTAAAATAATATACGTTTAATGTATAAATTAAATAATGAAAAAAATATGATAATTATGGGAAATATGTATATTTGTATAAGTATGTATGTGTATGCTTGTGTATATGTATGTGTGTGTACATGTATATGTAAGCATTACAACATTAAACGATGAGCAATGAATTATAGTGTTAAACCAAAAAACAAGTAATGGATCCCGTGTGTGCACATGACTTTATGAATGATATCAATAGCTATAAGTTGGTGAAAATATAGATAATCATATATAATAGAGGTGTGAAAAAAACGCAACGAAAAAAACGACGTCTGGTGCTAGAAAAGTCAAAAATAAGAAAAATCCGTAGTTAATCCGTAGCTAATTAGCTACGGATTAGCTACGGAATTCTAACGGAATGCATACTCCGTAGCTAATCCGTAGGTAATTACCTACGGATTAGCTACGGAGTATGCATTCCGTTAGAATTCCGTAGCTAATTAGCTACTGATTTTTCTTATTTTCGATTTTTCGGGCACCAAACGTCGTTTTTTTCACACCTCTATTATATACGATTATCTATATTTCCACCAACTTATATCTATTAATATCATTGATAAAGTCGTGTGCACATACATGATCCATTGTTCGTTTAATGGTTTAACACTATAATGTTTATGAATACGTGCACATACATCTCACAAACACGTATACATACACATATACATGTACACATATACCAGAACTCATTCATGTATATAAATATACATATACAAACATAATCCATCACAAGTTGGTGAAAAGTATAAACATTACAATGTTAAACAATGAAACGAGTACTTGATCCCGAAGGGGCACACAACTTTATGAACGATATTAATAGCTACAAGTTGGTGAAAATATAGATAATAATGTATAGTAGGGGTGTGAAAAAAACAAAGTGAAAAAAACGATGTTTGGTGCTCAAAAAATCGAAAATAAGAAACATCCGTAGCTAATTAGCAACGGATTTTTCTTATTTTTGATTTTTCGGGCACCAAACTTTGTTTTTTTCTCTCCATTTTTTTTCACACCTTTATTATAAATGATTATCTATATTTTCACCAACTTATAGCTATTACTATCATTCATAAAGTTGTGTGCACATACGAGATCCATTACTCATTTAGTTGTTTAACACTATAATGCATATGAATACGTTCACATACATCTCACAAACACATATACATACACATATACACGTACACATATACCATAACTCATTCATGTGTATAAATATACATATAAAAACATAATTCATCACAAGTTGATGAAAAGTATATGCATTACAATGTTATACTGTGAAACGAGTACTTGATCCCGAAGGGCACACAACTTTATGAACGATATTAATAGCTACGTGTTGGTGAAAATAAAGATAAGCATGTATAGTAGAGGTGTGAAAAAAACGAAGCGAAAAAAACGACGTTTGGTGCCCGAAAAAATGAAAATAAGAAAAATCCGTAGTTAATCCGTAGCTACTTAGCTAATCTGTAGGTAATTAGTATCCGTATGTATTCCGTAGCCATTTCGTAGCTAATTAGCTACGGAATTGCTACGAATTTGTATATGTAGCAATTTCGTAGCTAATTAGCTACGGAATAGCTACGAATTCGCATCTGTAGCTATTCCGTAGCTAATTAGCTATGAAATAGCTACGGATCCACTTCCGTAGCTATTCCGAAGCGATTCCGTAACTATTTCGTTACTAAACTAGGACATCCCATTATGTAGCTGATCCGTAGTAATTCCGTAGCTAATTAGCTACGAAAATTTGTTGTGGCTATTTTTGTAGGAAAACACCATGTTTTCTAGTAGTGAATTGTCCTAATATATAAATTTTATAAATTACTTATATATATATATATATATATATATATATATATATATATATATATATATATATATATATATATATATATATATATATATATTACAAATTAAAATTATGAAACATAAATAAAAATTTAGTTTATGATATGGAACTAGGAACCATTTTATCAAAGAAAATATGTTATTGTAGTGACCTTGGAAAATAATTATAGATGTGAAATGACCCAAATACAAAATAGTTATATTATATACAATCATAATGGTCTTTTATTGTTCATGCACATTTCTTGATCTTAGAGATTCATAGATACTCATTAACAATGGTACTAACCGCTGATTGGTACCAAAACCAATCCATACTTTCTATGAACAGCAGCGCCAAAACACTCGGACATGTCTAGATCTTCATTCTTTTCTCCATTGGGAAGTTTCCAGTTGAAGTGATAAAGTATATTAGCAAGAGGGAGCCGAACATTGGCTAAACCTAGGCTTACTCCAGGGCACATTCTTCTCCCAGCTCCAAATGGGAGATACTCATACTCTGCACCAACCATATTAGTGGGGTTGTTTTCAAACCTCTCAGGTATAAAACATTCAGGATCTTTCCAGTATTCTGGGTCCCTATTTATTGCAAAGGCATTGATTATAAGTCTGGTCTTTTTGGGTATATCGTACCCTGCAAAAACACATGATTCCCTAGACTCTCTTGCCATAAGCAAAGGCCCTGGAGGGTGCAACCTCAATGTTTCTTTGATTACTTGGTTTAAGTAGTCGAGGTCTCGGATGTCTTCCTCTAGGATCCTTTCTTTTTCCATTTAACAATTTCCTTAGTTCGGTTTGTAGTTTCTCCATTACTCTGGGACTTTTTATCACTTCTGAAAGTGCCCATTCAAGTGTCGCTGCTGAGGTGTCCGCTCCAGCTGCAAACACATCCTGTATTATATCATTATTAAACCATTATGTTTGTAATACAATAACAAAGACTTATATATATATATATATATATATATATATATATATATATATATATATATATATATATATATATATATATATATATATATATATATATATATATATATATTGGTATATGAAAACTTACCAAAAGGACTGCTTTTATATTATCAATCGTCAAAGGAAACTCAGTGCTATCTTTGACTCTTAGCAAAATATCAAGAAAGCTTTCATGGGATGTGTTGCACTGTTTTTTTAGGGTTTCAGAAAATACTTTGTTAACTATATCGTCAACTGCTTTGTGTATCTTGGCTAACCTAGCCCGTTTGCCTGAAAGATGATGAATAAATTTTTTGGAAGGAAAGATATCAGCCACATCAAAACCTCCCATTTCTGTTAATGTCTTCCTCATCAAATCTGAAAACACTATTGGGTCCTTTAGTCCTTCACCAAATGCAGCCCTACTTACTATTAATGCGATCCTGCTGAAAATTCTATGGGAAAGATCGATAGGTCTCCCTGACCAAGATGATCGAATGTCTTGAACAAGATTCCAACACTCCTCCTCACGAAGAGAATGAAACGACTTCACTTTCTTGGCACTCAAAAGCTCTATGGTGCAAAGCTTACGTAACTGTCTCCAGTATTCACCATACGGAGAAAAGACGATATCTGTGCTATGATATACGACAACCTCAGCAGTTAAATTTTTGGGTCTATCTGCAAATGTTAAGTCATAGTTTGTCAAAACCTCCTTGGCCAATTTCGGGGAGGACACCACGATTGTGGAGATCTCACCAAGTTGTAGATGCATAAAAGATCCGTACTTCTTGGCTAAGTTTGTAAGACCATGATGTGGCAAAGTACCTATATACGTTTGTCAATAGATGTATATTTGTTTAGTTATAAGTAAACAAAAATACAAAATACATGCGTTATCCATGTATGGATGCAATTAATTAAAAGCATATTTATATGTAGAGATCAAAACAAAACCATCAAGATGATCTAGTGGTGATCACTTAGGATTTAAACACTGCAAATGAAACATGTTTGATTCCTATATAAGAAAATAGAGATTGAAACAAAGATGTGTACCAATTAAATGATGCATGTGTCCTATGATAGGAAGTCCCCATGGTTCAGGAAGGAGTTTTCTCTTGGGTTTTCGACGAGTGGCAAACTTGAAAAGAAAGAAGAGGAGAGTGGTAAGACCAATGAAAATAATAAAAGAGAGTTCCATTGTTGATGCTGAACATAGAATAATTAAATAAACACTTATAGTTCTTAAATAGCTACAAAAATCTTGAAATAAAATGTATTGAATAGATATTTTAGTCATAGTCTACATTAGTAATATATATTTATACCAATATTGAATTTAATTTTATAATAAAAATTGAGGTTTTTTAAAGATAGTGAGAGAAGGATGACCATTGATCTTTGACCTTTGAACCAAGGATATATTTGACCATTGGGCTAGACATGATGCTGGATTTCAACTTGTTGGTAATGGCACATCTATTATAGAGTCAATTGACTATGCATTTACAATTTTCTCTGACTATTTTGCTTGTCAACATATCTTTCCATTATTATTACTTTTTTAAATAATCTTTTAATATTTTTTAATAATCCATTTAATACTTATTTAATTGACTATAAAATAAAGGGAAATCTCCAATAATGTCCTAAAATTTTAGCTCGGTTTATGTTTTAGTTCTAAACTAATTTTTGTTTACGAAAAAATCCCAAAAACCGGCAAAAGTTTGTATTTTGACCATTTTTGATTGGTTGGAACCGGTAACAAATTAATTTAGGACTCTTTCATAAATTGATCCAAAATATTGGGACTTTTTGCAAAAACAAAAAATATTAGGGTTTTTCTGCAAAACAAAAACTTTATTATTATTATATTAAAAATATAATAAGTATACTAATTTTTAAATTTGTTATTATTAATATTATTAATAATACATATAAATACATTTAAATTAAAAAAATATTAAAGACATTTTATAAAGGTGAAGGTTGAGCGGATGGTAATGCTTTAAGCTTTGAAATCATGAATGTCTGTTTGTATATTCTAACTTTGTATATGGTCATTTCACATTTGTTATTATTGTTTTTAATTCAGAATATTAACATTTAACAATTTAAGAATCTACTGATTTTTCAAATTGTTTACAAATAGTGAGCATGTGATATGCGTGTGTGTCTTGTGTGTAAGTATATTTGAATTACCAACATGTGTGTTGCTTTTTTTCATTACTTTATCCTTGTGTTTTTTTTGGAAACATAGCAGATATAGTGTGATAAAGCAAAATAAATCATATTCCTTTCTATTAAATAAGATATTTTAATTAATATTTTCAAATTTTGATATGGGCCAGCAATGTAAATATTTATTGTGGATCTGTTGGATTTGAAAAGAAATCATTCTACCTTAAGAAATTTTATATACAAAGTGAGAAATCCTTTTATCTTAAACTATTTATACATAATTTTACAAATATGCAACTTCTTTTAAATTGTTAAGTGTTAATATTTTGAATTGAAAACAATAATAAAAAATGTAAAATGATCATATACAAAGTGAGGACATACAAGCAGTGATTTCAATGCTTAAAGCATTACCATCACCACCACCTTCACCTTTAAATAATTTCTTTAATATATTTTTATTTAAGTGTATTTATATGTATTATTAAAAATATTAATAATAATGAATTTAAAAATTAGTATACTTGTTTATAATAATAATAATAATAATAATAATAATAATAATAATAATAATAATAATAATAATAATAATAAGGTTTTTGTTAGCAGAAAAGTCCTAATATTTTTTTTGCAGAAAAAATCCTAATATTTTAGATCATTTTCTGAAATAGTCCCAATATTTTTGGTTAGTTTATGAAATAGTCCCAAATTAATTTGTTGTCGGTTCCAACCGGTCAAAAGGGGTCAAAATGCATACTTTTGCCGGTTTTTAAGACTTTTTCGTAAACAAAAATTAGTTTAGGACTAAAACGTAAACCGGGCCAAAATTTTAAGACTTTATTGGAGATTTCCCTAAAATAAATCCTGAAATTATATTAAACAAAAGACTACCTAATTTACTATTCTTAATAATGGTCCAACTTTAATATATATAAGAATTATATTTCTTTTATATTGGTATACCACATAGATAATGTTTATATTATATTTTAATTTATTTTTGCGTGGTCTCACATCTTTCGTAACAATTTGGTGGCTACTTCATAAATCTATGTTACGATTATTATTATAAGTGTTTTAAAAATCGGTTCAAACCGACAGATCGAACCGAAGTGGTTGGATCGAGAACCAGATACGAGAATGATTTAATAATGATCAATTTTATGTCAATTTCTAAACCGAATCCAACTGGACAGTTTCTTCAAAAACCGGGTTGTATCGTTCTAAAGAAAATTGAATAGTTTCGGAATTTATACAACTCGAAGGCCGATGCACACTACCGCCAAATGTAGAAAAATTCTTGGTCGATTCGATGATGAACCGGTTGAACCGGAAATCGGTCACCAGACCGGTTCAACCAAAAATCCGGTTTTTAAAACATTAATTATAATAAATATAATTTGTTAATATTTCGATATTACATCTATTACATCTTTAGCCCTTTATTTTATAAGTATAAATTTATTTATAATCTTCATATATTTGGGCACATTATATCTTAAAATTATTGTGTGGTGCATTTGGTGTAATGTATGTATTCAAGCTAGCATTATCATGATTTGTCATCCATCAGAACGTTCTAATTTGTAGCTATGACAAAGTGGAAAAAGACTATGTTATAAACTAGGATAAATCATAATTAATGATAAAGTAGTTGCGAAAGATATAAACTTGACAACTAATATATAGAATGATAATGAAAGACCAAATGTGTAAATAGATAAACATGATAAACAAAGAGCAATCTTACATTTTAGTGAATATTTTAAAGAATGACGATGAAAGGTGTAAGAAGAATCTTATCCCGGTTCGTCTTTTATAGACATGCAAAAATGATAATCTCATAAATAACATCTAACACAATATATAGTTAAGATCTACTGAAGTAGTTGATGACCGAACATCTTTACGAACTGACAGTTAATAATTGCTTATACAAAAGACAAAACACTAAAGTCAACTTCCTCTGATGTTCTTCTTCGAATGACACTTTACTTCGGATAACACAACACTTCGGTCATCATCTATTGATACACTTCTGCAGAGGGTCACTTTTAGGTGCATCAATCCCCTAACTTATGCTTTAGATATCTTGATAGTTGTTCATGAAATCAATTGTCCTTTAGAAGAATCTTCTGACAACAAAAATCCATTTAACTTGCTTCATAATTTCCAACTTAGTTGCAACCGCTTCATGAGAGTCTAGAGCAATGTTCATGATGCTATCAAGAAGCGATTAGAGCAACAATGCTTCTGGCTTAGCCTGAAAAAGTGCTTCTCTTCTATATCTTTGAGTCCTTAAACAACTCCAAATTCAAGACTGTCAGCGATGCCATATTCTCGTTCTTCAATTCCTCCAATGAGAGAATCCATATCTTCAAAGTATAGAAGAGGAATGAGAGAGTTTATCCCATAAGAATTGATGCCATTTTGTAACACTCGGTTTTAAATCGTTTCATAATTCGAGATCGGGGCCTGATTATCATAAGGCTTACGACCTTAGGGAAGGAGGGTGTTGGCCCTGTTTAGATGTGTGGATTTATAGATTAAGTGATCCGAGTGTTCGCTTGTGTTTCAGAGCCCAATGGTGTAGTCGTAATTTGATAACTCGGTCCTTTATGAATTTTAGGTTTCTTTTTAGGAAGTTCTTTGTCAAAGGTGAGTTGATAGAAGTGTAGGGCTTCTCGTTACCTTTTCGTAGATATAAAGAACGTCAAAAACGGATACAGGGTGCAAAAATTATGATCATTTGAAATTAGAAGGGTTTTGGACAAAACCGGGTACACATGGCGTACAAGGGTGGTACGCATGGCGTACATGGGAATTTGGATGTTGGAGTATTTGGGAACATCCTGCATTCCCCAAAGGAATGCAGTGCGTTCGTCAGGCCAGATTAAAACCCTAGTTTGGGGTCTTGGACCCTATTTAAAGACCTTAACTCACCTCCAACCCACATTTTCTTCAGCCTCCATCCTCTATAACCCTAAGAACGAAACCCTAGCCTCAATTTGAGTGTTTCTTGAGCTTCATTGTGAATTTTTGTGTTTTTGGTGCTTGAGAAGGAGAAGGAACTTCTTAAAGAGTCATTGCTTGACTTAGAGCTTTTGGATCCACACCTTATACACTTAGATCTGTCTTCTGGAGGTATAAAGTCTCAACATTGATAACTCTTTCATATAGATCTAGCTAAGTGATATTTTTTTTTTTTATGGTTTTGGTCCCTTTCTAGTGGTTCTTGTGAGTAGAAGTTACTCTAGAACCTCTGAGCTTCATATTTGGTCTTTGTTGGGTTTATGAAGTCATAAAGTTTGGATTTTGATGAGTATAAACCTTCCATGCATGATTTGGTAGTCTTTTGGTGAATCTTGGGATTTAGGGTTTTGATTTGGGTCTCATTAAGTCATGCTAATTCATAAAGTCAGGAACATTATGGCTTAAGAAGTCCCTTTAAATCAGATCTAGAAGTTTGGATTGAGGTCTTAAGTATTAAAAAGTTTTTAAGACATTTTGGAGTGATTTTAAGTTCATCTTTGGTGATTAGGCTTCATTAAGCCATGCAAAGGATTAAAGCCTTCGACTTTATGAATTAAGTAGCTTATATTGAGCTATTATGAGATTTTAGACATTTGGATTAAGGGATTAAGCCATTGGATTAAGAAGTTGGAAGTTGTCGGAAACTCGTGTGTACCCCTGTGGGGCACAGTGTGTTTCAACTGGGAGCCCCAATGTTTGAGCAACGACGAACACCATGTGTTTAGCCGATGAATGTCATGCATTCCTTTAGTTAGTGGGTTTTTGGGATGTTTGGACTTGGACTCTTTTGGAATGGGCTTCAGTTGGGCTGGGTTGTTTCATTGGGCTATCAAATATCTATTTGAGACAACGTTTAATGGATTATCGCATAATTATTAATTGGGATTTATTTGTTGTTAGCGTGGAATTTCTGGTTCGGCAGTCGAGTGTTATCTGATTAGTAGCGGACTGAGGTGAGTCTCCTCACTGTACTATGGGTCAAAGGCACCAATACCA